TTCTCAATTTGTTGCACAACAACTTGGAAGCAATGGCAGGCCCTTGAGCTGCCAGGTGACAAGAAATTAAGATTGAGTTCAGTCCATATGAGTTTGGATTTGTCATTATCCTTGTCTTGTGACTATGATTTTGACAATTCACATGGATAAGAACACATACACCATTAAATCTAAGTGTCATAAGGTTTCTCTCTGATTCATGAAAATGATGGTGAGGAAACACTTTCACTAAGTAGATTTTAGCTAGATAGCAATTGTTATATTTGCATTCTCAAAGTCGTTAGTGGAGCGTGTGTGGTTTACCGACACACTAACCTGGACTTGTGAGAAGTGGCAAAAAGGTCTAACCATTATGATTACGGCATCCCTCTTCATAATTGTTTAGACACACAAGTGTGCTATCTAAGGGAATGTGTATGATTTTTGATAAAGTTTTATCAAAACAATTTAGTATCAGAAATCTGAACTTTTGTAAGAACGTCAATTAAGTATTGATTTCTAGAACTCCAACTGATTTCTGAGTACATGTCAAAGCTAGTGGGAGCATAAGTGTTATGCTAATAATCATCATGTTAGTAGGAGCATGATAATTATGATAAGTATTGCAAGTTAGCAATGTTAATTATAGAAAACAAAACGTTTCAATTGGGAAAAAGTTGTTTCGCTATAATTAAGCGAGAGGAAATTATACTTCATCTCAAATCTATAAGCTTAGATCGTGAGGTTTTAATCATTTAGTCAAGGATATATATATGAATTTCATGTTGGAATGGCTCAACATAAGGAAATTCTGTATATGGGTCCTTTATTTGTGTTCTAAAATTCTATTATAATTACGACATCCCTTTTCATAATCTGAATTATGAGAACTTGGCAAATTGAAATGGAAATGTTATAGCAAAAGACTGGTTTAGTCTTTATGTGAGACATCATGAATCGTGTCCCATATGCTTCGGATATAGGATCGATTACATGTTCTATATTCGTCCTTTCTAAAATTTTCCAAATGCCTGGGGCATTAAGAAGGGAAAAGGTTTAGAACTGGATATGACTAAAAGGATTAAACAATAGTCGAGGACAATCTAAGGTTTACCAAAGATTGGTTGTTCAAGGACAGTTGGAAGTATAGTGATAATTCTGGAAGGACCATATTGACATAATCTGTAAGGAGGCAACTCTTGTTTAGAAGTGATAGTCAAAATGGAATCTGGAAATGTTTCAAAGTTAGAATTTTTAATTTGTGTAAGATTAAGGAAACTTAATGCAAGAAAGATGTTTCCAAGGAGTTGATCTCCTTTAGAATGCTCTGTAATGTTTGTTGTCAAGTCTTTATGACTTTGTGCATAACCATTACAAGAGGATCAATGCATATAAGTTTAGAATCTAACAAATTTCAGTAAATGGCATGAATTTGGAATTCTTGCATTTGCCGCAAGGATTTGGGACAGTACAAGAGAATCATTCAAGTTATGTTCAACTGATATAGTTCACAAAGTAAAGATCATAGACAAACATAGTATGCATACTTGGTGTATGGCATGACTAGTGTTTAGAAAACATAGTGTACATGCTTGGAGCATGGGACAACTATTGTTTTAAATTCAAGAATAAAGTTGATAGCTAAAATAGTATATAATGAATAATGTGTAATCATATGGTGATAAATAAAAGGTGTTTTATTTATGTTCATAGGTTTTGATACCATATTGGATTCAATTATTATTGTGTTTCACTTTGCATGTTTTGACTTCCCGAATAAACTAGGTTTTTCTTCCGGAATGACAAAGTTATTCAAACCATCCACAGTCGGTCATATGTTGGAAGTAGATATGAATTAAGACTGTCATGGGTTGGCTTGTAGAGGTCTAAGGTGTTGGACAAAGGGCTACAACACTCATGAGTGCTCATAAGTTCTGAGTATTGGATTCAACCGGCGCTCATTGGAATCACTTCATGGATTTTATCACGAGTGATCATGAGACGATGATATCTTATGTTCTTCAAACCTAGAGATATGAGTTGTTACTATGAGTTGATAGTACATTGATTACACGAAAACGCATTTGGTAACTCGGTGCTATAAAACGTGTCTTTGTGTATGATTCAACAAGTAGTAGAAAAAGCCATATGAGTCGAAGTTTTTCCATTCCTTTTATCTTCGGGATAAAAGCAATATATGTGGGCCCCTCGATGATTTGATGATGACAAATGGAAGTGCTCGGCCGGGCCAGGACTGATTTGATTTGTTCAATTAGTCAGTCGTCATAAATCGGAAATCGGGAAACAACAAATGGACAGAGAGAATGATTATAATCCATGTCTCAGTCCATATGATATCTAGAATGGAGGAATATATGATCCCTTATCTAATGGACAAGTCACTGACAAAGGTCAGAGTTCATCTACAAGGTCAGAGTTCGACAAAAGCTTTTGAGAGCTATGATTGCCAGTCGGTTCCTGAAGTCATACGCAAGAATAGTTTTAGACTTATCCAAGTGGGAGACTGTTGGATTAATGTCTAAGTCCATAACTATAATTCATAAGACTTGACCCGACCCGGCATGGTCCATTTGGGTTTCATGGCATCATGCACTTGGATAGACTAAATGAGAGAAATAAGACACTTATGGTTATTAATATATTATAAGTTCTAGTATATTAATAATAAGAATAATAAGATTATTTAATTAGTATTGATCAAGAATTAATATAGGATTAATTAAGTGATCAAAAGAAGACTAATTAAATATATGGGTTGATTGTGTAAATCATCCATACTTGTATAGTGGGCTTATGCTCCATGGATAATCAAGTTGGGCTAAAACCCACAGGATGGTCCATGGATGCTCCATGGTGTATTTGAACCCATGGATTCAAGGAAATGGAAATTCATAACAATTAGGGTTTACCCTAATTATAACACTATATAAAGATCTTATTCTTGACAAAATCGGTGACTAGGATCATGCTAGAGAGGGCTAGCCGATTTCATGAAGTGTAGATTTCTCTCAAGTCATTCCATTTGTATTTGGTGTTGTGTGAACGATTTAAGGTGTTACACTTAGGGCACTAGGCACTCAAGCTTCATGAAGACTTTCTACGTCAAAGAAGTATGTATTCTATCTTGTTACATTCCTTGTTTTGTATGCTAGATTAGGATAATACCTTGGAAGTTCATATTTGCATGTATAATAGAGAAAACAAAGATACAAGGTATTTAGGGTTGCATGTACACTTAGGAGTGTTAGAATGCTCAAAACCCAACAAAATCAACACTCTAATGTTCTAAGAGTTCATGGAGGTGATTTTAGTGTGCAAGAAACTCTCTCAAAAGTCATCCTTTGTCTAAAGTGTGCTGTGAACCATTTAAGGTGTCACAATTCGGGCACTAAGTTCTTTAAGGCCAAATACAAAAAGTTCAACAAGCTACATATAGAGGTAAACTCCTAACTAGTTTTTTATGTTGTTTATGTCAATTGCATGCTAGTTGTAGGCTTAATGCATTGGAAACAATATTCCATGTATAATTAGAGAAAACATAGATCCAAAGCATTTAGGGTTGTATGTGAACCATTGGATTTTGTAGTATATAATAAAACCCATCAGTATTATTGTGGGACTTTCCCTTGTTGCTCTTTGAAGGAGTCTTCCTCTTCATTCCTTTTCCTTGCCCAATAGCCAAAACAGGGGCAGCAGTAGGAGTAGATGCAACATATTTGCCTTTCAGACTAGTCTTAAGAGTCCTTAGTAGGCCTTGAAGCTTGCTTAGAATGACCTCCTCCTTGTTGATGTGGTAGGTCATACGAAACTGTTCGTAGCAAGGAGGCAATGTGTGTAGAATGATATCTATGGCCAGCTCATCATAAAAGTTGACATTCAACATCAGTAAGCAGTCCACATAACTTTGAATTTTCTGTGGGTGGGCCATGATGGACTCTTCATCCTTTATTTTGGTAGTGATCATTGCAGCAATGATCTCATACCTATCCTGCCTAGCGCTTTAATGGAACTTATCCATGAAATCTTTATGCATCCCGTAGAGATAGTATTCCTCATACGACTTTTGGAGTTCAACAGTCATTGTTACGAGCATGATGTAATCAAACTTCGTAGCATCTCGCTCATGGGCCTCGTAGGCAACAATCACTTTGGGAGTAGCAGTGGTAGTGTCAACCCCTTCAGCTCCTTGTCGAGAACATACTCTGGTCCTTTTAATGGGTGACCATGCGGATATTGTGGATCCAATTGTTAAAGTTTGTCCCATCAAAGATCACCTTCCCACAGAAGTTCAAGAGTGATAATGGGCCGGAAGGGGTTGAGCTAGAAGCGTTGAGTAGACATCTGAAAAAAAAAAAGCGACAAAGTTTAGATTGGATAAGAATCCCCAATTAAACACCAAAATAAAAATTAGGGCTAGGACCCAATACATTTATTTACAATTCAGAAGAGGGTTTTCGTAATCTAATTACAAATAATTGGAAGGTAGGTAAATGATGATATACCAATTTCCACCATGAAAAATGAAAAACACAATTAAGTTTTAATTGAATTGAAATTCCTAGATTCCTTTTGAGATTCATTGAACATTTCAATGGCATTTTTAAATGTCGATATGCTCTTCAAGTTTGTGACAGGGTTACCGAGGTGTTAGGCATAAAATCCTCTTAGATAGATTAGATTCTAACAAGTAAAATATCGCACGATATGAAAACAAGAACACAATATGGATCAAAAGATGTCAAATGATTAAAAACCACAACCTCAAAAGAACTCTATAAAGAATTGCTACTATAGAGGCATGCTAGGGTTACAATGAAAAGATCAAATCAACGTTAACAACTATGGTTGCATGCATGCACTATTTATAATGTAACCCTAACAATAAATATGACTGGACAGGCCCAAACCGTAAACATAATGGACATAAACAAAACATACTAATGACGCAATCTAATATAATCAACATTCTTCCCCTTTGCGTAAATAGAGACCCAAACCCTTCACCCTTGGATTCGTTTATACACTTCATACACCTTCAGTATCATGGCATAAATTGCTTGCCGAACTTCAATGTACCAAAGAACCCTATCTGAGAAGCACTTGATATCATCTTTCTTGTTGCCTCTGAACTTGCTCACATGCTCCAAAATGAACTCAAGGAAGGTTGTGTTATAGAGATGCTTATCTGAAAGATAGAAGCATACTTTATGAAAGTCTGCTCTAGATCGTTCCATAGCATAATAAACCACAAACCAATCTCCACTGTAGAGTTTTCCTAGTTTCATCTTTTCAAAATCCTTAGGATTTTCCTTGAGAACTATCGAAGGCTTCTTTTGAAGGATCACAACAACTTCAACATCCATCTCTCCCTTCTCTTTAATATAAGATTGTATCATAAGTTTGAGATGAGACATGACAAGTTCATACTTTTCCATGTTCTTCAGCAACATGTTGTAAAGCGGGAACGAATCCTTTGGGTTGAGGCATGGAAGATCTGCAAGAGTAAACTTAGAGCATTGGCTAGCTGAACCCCTCGCTACTTTAAACTTGGTGTTAGGAAAACTATCAGTCTCAATCGGCCCTGTAACTTTCACACCTGTAATCTTTCTTAATGGCCATGTTTCATATTGAGGCTTCATATTCTTTAGATAGAACGACAAGAGTATATGATCTCCACTCCACTATCTATAATTGGAGCGTACGCCACTTTAAAAAAAAGAACAAAAATGAAAGGCTTTTGGAGTAATGGACAGATCAAGTTGGGAGTCTCGCATGTTTTGAAGGTCGCACGAAAGTACTAGTTCTAACCAATACTGGCTTGGAAGATTAACATCATCACGTTGGATTCGATTTAGGGTCCACTCGGGAAACAATAGCTTTTTACTCTAAAGAGTAGCCTGTGCTTCTTTCTAGGTCCATTCCTTTTCTTCGGCTTCACGGATGATTCGCTGGTGATCATCCATTTCAACTTCACGAATTTTCCATCTTTTTAGTTCTTATTCAGTAAGCTCTTCTTCTCTATCATTTTTAATGATTGGTTCATTACGAAACAAAGTTTCCTTGTCTTTTGGTTTCAGCTTAACAAAAGGCTTGACAGGAGCTTTAGGCGCTTTGGGTTCTCCCTTTCGTGATCCACCATCCATATTTTTTTTCTTAATCCACCACCAGTCAACCATTCTCCCCTTGGTTTGGATTAAAGTCTTGATCAGAAAACCCTTCAAGGCAATGAAGCATGTCAAAGATAGGCCTTAATTTTTCTTGCTGATGCTTACACATTCTGATGGTAATCATTGAGTCGCTGGCCTCAATGATTTTCAGGAGCATGCTAACAACATCAGTGATACAACTTCGCATGACTGCCCTCTCATATAACAGATCATTGACTTGTGTCTCCGAAGCCTCAAGTTTGGTGGTTAACACCTTGCCTTCTTCGGTTTTAAGAGCAATAGAATCTTTGAGAGAACTTTCCTTTACAAGTTCGTCCTTAAGCTGAGAAAGCTGAGATGAAAGAGTGGCTTGAAATGATTCATGGTCGGATTTAAGACCGGTCCGAAGCTCTTGGAGTTTCGTCTTTTCAATCTTGAAGAGAAATCCTAGACTCTTCAATGCTTCATTTGCTGATGTAGTCTTGGAATTTTAGGTGGTTTGGAAGTTCTCCACGAAACCAATTGTCTTCTCAATTATTTTATCGAATTTCTCGGTTGTGGACTTGTAAACCTCAGTAGAATTAGCAGCAACTTTATTCAAGGTTTTAGCAGAAGCCGAATGTTGTTTCATGATTCACTCAAAGAGAGACTCTACAGCTGATTTACCATAATCTTCAGTAGAAGAGGCTTTGGTAGATTGAAGCAGCTGCTCAATCTTTCCATGTAGGGACTGTAGTTTCCCTTTCATCACTTGTTCCTCATCTCCATCCTCAGTCTGTATTGTTGGAGTCGTCCCTACTTTATTTACACTACTCCGTGATCTTGATATTACACTAATACGATCCTATAAGTTTGACTCTTAACAGGTATCGAAAAACAGCTCAACATGTCGTACGACGATTTTTCATCCAATCCAATAAACATCTAAAAAAAAGTAGAGGGTCAACCACAAGAATTTTGATTCTATATCTTCATGAGTATGAAGTATGGGCTCTTCACTTTGAATACTATGCTCTTAGGTTAGAAGACAATGGATATTTGATCTGGGAAGCGATTTGGGTCCTTTTGTTCACTCTGAAACTAAACGAATCATTAAAACTCAAAAGGAGTACAACCAGTTAGTTATTGATATGAAGGATATTCCTAAGGATGAGAAAGACAAACTCATCAGTAATATTAAAGTAGTGAGAGTTATAAGGTTCGCTTTGCAGTCTGATACATTCTGCTTTGTATGCTCTAGTGAAGGTGCGAAAGAAATTTGGAACAAGCTTAAAGAGCTTTATTCCATAGATGTTGATCTCGAGCATTCCACCCAAACACTCCTGCTTTCAGAGTTTGGTGCCTTCAAACAATATCCAGAAGAGAATCTCAGCCAAACTTTCAACTAATACAATCATGTTGTTAGTAAGATGATTAAACATGGAATAGAACAAAAGCTGATCAAGCAGAAAGTTACATTCATGAATGGTCTCAGACCTGAATGGATGGTAGTAGTCTCAACTGTTAAAGCACATGAATAGTTCAAGAGTTGTACATTGGCCAAACTTGTTGGCATTCTTAAGTCACACAAAAGCAAAGTGACAAAAGAAACGAAAGTTGTGTCTAGCATGGGGTCCTTAGCTCTTGTGGCGAAAGGCAAAAATGTTACAGAAGAAGAATCAGAAATAGAGCTCTCTGATTGTGATCTCTCTAGCGAAGATTATACATTAATGATCAGTAATCCCAAGCAGTTCGCCAAGAAGAAGTTTCCATCTACCAAGAACCGAAACTAGAAGGGAAGCTGTATTGCCGAGAAAGTGAAGGAGGAGAATAAAACCACTCCTAAGAAAGAAGAAGAAAAGAAGGAAAACAAGCTTATAGGTGACTCTCACTATGACTACAAATATTGTCATGGTAAAAATCATATGGAAATGGAGTGCATGCTGAGGAGGCTAAATGAGAAAAAAGAAGGAGAGGATGATGAAGCTTACCACTTCTATAAGTTGGAAGAGATTAAGATGAAGAAGATTAACGTTAACTCAATGCGTGCTTTAATTGTGCAGGAAAATACAACAGATGATGCGTTTGGAGGAGTGGAGATTTGGTCAATTGACTCTGAGGATGAGGAAGTTTGTAAGCCCACACATGGCAGGGCATTCGTTGCGAAAGAAGAAAGCTCTAGGTTCGCTGGTAGATGCTTGATGGTGATCAACGGCGAGTCAACTGATGGTGGATATGGGAATGCAAAGGGAAATGGGGATGACAAGTGTTTTGCAGCAAAAACTATTGGTGAGCAAATCAACGAGTGTGATCAACTGATCAAAAAGGTACATACCATTCTTGAATCCCTTAAGTTATGTGTATCTAACTATCAAACCAAATTAAACGACCTAAAATTCACCTTTTCAAGTATATGTATTAGTCTTAAACAAACTTGTCTAGAGAATGCTAACCAAACTGATGAAATCAGCAGGAGGTCATCCAAGAGTGAGGAGCGAAGGATGTAGATTGAGAAGATAGAGTTAGAGTTGTCTAGGTCTAGAGATGAATCCATTTATTTGCAAAGGGTTAATTTGTAATTTTTAAAACAAAGAAACATATTTTGTTCGATTGCTAAACATCTTTATACAAATATTACTTAGTTGCATTTAGATTGTGAAATAGGTAAAAATATTAAAAAAAAAATGATCTTGCCCTTCCTTGAATTCAAGGAAGACGAGATTGATGCTGATTCTTACAAGTGTGATTCTATCATATCTTCAGATGAAACCTCTGAAGCGTATAAAATTGGACTGGAAAAAATTGAATCTTTTATTAAGTCGAAAGATCATAAGGACATATTGAAAAACTTGCTTGATGAAAATGCCATGTTGAAAATCAAGACCGAAACTGTACAGAAATTTGACTCATTGAATTCCAAGTTAAGTTCATAAAATAAAATCAATCTTGAAAATACATCTGAATATGACTAGGACGATGATACAAGCGAAATATATGTAAAGGATGAGGTTGAATGTTCTAAGGTTGTGAAAAACTAACCTGGACCTGCAAAAGTCCTTATCTTTGAAAACTCAGTTGAATTTGCTCGGATTTCTCAAAATAAACCAAAAACACTAAAAGCAAAAGCAAATGTTTTTCCAAAAGTCCAAACTGTACCAAATCAAGTATTTGCCATTGGACGACTAGAAAAAAATCATACCATCAAACTAATGTCCATTGTTAATGAAGACAACAAAGATGGATGTGATGATTTTTTCTTGTCTACACCAATTGATAATGTAGACGAAACGAAGGGTCTTTCTGAAAGAACCTCCTGGAGAGTTAAAGGACGTTATGTTGCAAAACCAATAATTAAACCTTCAAGTTTTGAAAAAGGCAGTCCAAGTGGTACTAAGAAATGTCTAAGCGAAGATCACTCTGAAAGAAGCGAACCTCATGCAAGTGAATCGAAGCGAAAGGCGAATATTCATAAATCTTCAAAGCAACATGCTGAGCAAAACCGTCAAAGGAATAGGAGATATCAAAAGAATCTCAATGAAAGGAAGCAGTTTTGGTAATCCCGAAACTCCAACTATATTGACAAAGAAAAGGCTTCCAATCAAAAAGTGAAAGCTAGTTCGCAAGCAAATTCCAAACAATGTTCACACTGTCATTCGTGTGGTTCCCAAAAACTAAAGGGAAGTTTCGCTCAAAAATCTTCACCTTCTAAGAAATTGGATAGTCATCACTCTCAACCTATGAGAGCATTTGTCAAAGATGTTAAAGGAAAGGGAAAGATGTTATCTGATTCTATAGTTCCAGCTAAGAATTTGATAGCTAAACCTAGGAAAGATAACAAAGATCTCGTTAATAATAAAAAAAAAACGAACACTGATAAGACGAACACAAAGTATTCACAATAAAGAAAAATGATGAAACCACCTAGATTAAATGAACTTATATGGTTGATTGCTCCATTGCTTTTCCACTTTCTATAAAAGGATCACAAGAACCCAAGAAACTTTAGGATCCTAAAGCTACTTAATTTTGGCAGGTTATACATGACGAGTAGTTTGACAACAAATGGTATATTGATAGTGGTTACGCACGTCACATGACAGGAAGAAAGGAAGAGCTGAGGGAGTTTCGTGCTTTGAAAGATGGGGGAAATGTAAAGTATGAAAACAACTTATTTGGAATGATCAAATGCTATGGGATGATACGAAGATTTCTCAATAAGAAAAGTGGCTTATGTGTAAAGACTACAACATAACCTGATTAGTGTTTCTCAACTGGTTGTGGGAACTAGCTTGAAAGTATGATTTGATGACAAAGGTTCTAAGATTATAGAGAAGGAAACGAAAGCTATTCTTTTGAAGTCTCCTAGGAAAGGAGAAATGTATCCTCTAAATTTGAACGCGATAAAAGGAAAACCTACTATCTTCCTCTTAACAAAAGCTCACTGTGATGATAGCTGGCTATGGCACAAACGACTTTCGCAAATAAATTTCAAGGATATCAACAAGCTTGTGCTTGGTGATCATGTGCGAGGGCTTCCTCTATTAATGTCCAATAAGGATCACTTATGCGCAACATGTGAAATGGGGAAGAAAAGTAGGAAAATCCATCCCATTCAAGTAAACACGAAAATCATCGAATCCTTAGATGTTCCACACATAGACCTTTGTGGATCATCTGCACTCGAAAGTGTCAGTTGTAGGAATTATATTCTTGTTATAGTTGATGATTTTTCACATTTCTCTTGGGTTTTCTTTCTTAAACAGAAATCCGAGGCAACTCCTACACTCAAAAAATTTATATAGAAAGTTGAGCTTCAACTGCGAAAGCTGGTTCGCAATATTCGCAACGATAATAGGCTGGAATTCAAATGGACGTCAAGTGTGCTTTCCTAAATGGAGAACTAGATGAAACTGTATATGTCGAGTAACCACCTGGTTTTGTGAACGAAAAATTTCCCAATCACTGCTACATCTCAGACAAAGTTGTTTATGGTTTAAAGTAAGCGCCTAGAGTCTCGTAAGAAACTCTAACTCGATTTCTTAAAATGTCAAAATTTAAACAAGGTTCGGTTGACCCAACCTTCTTTTGCAAGAAAGAGGGTGACCACCTAATGTGTAACGCTCGTGTTTCTAGGCTAGGCATTCATGTTGAGGTAATAGTCTAGGTTAACCATTGTAACCCATTTTGAAATAATAAAAAAGTATTATTTGAGTATTATGTGTTTTATGCTTAATTCTTGTGATTTAAATGAAGTAAGGATAAATATGAGTGTAATAATAAAATATTATATAAGCCCAATATCTATGAAGGAAGTTGTAGTGGTTGTGACGAGGATTCCGTAATTATAAAGAATGCTGAAATCCGAGTTACACTGGAGGCAACTATTTGGGCTGCCATGTACGTCAGGCACCTACTCTCGAGGCAGCTATTTAGGCTGCCAAGTCTGTTGAGGATATGATCAAGGGAAGAACCGCCAGCAAGGTTGAAGTTGGCGAAAAGAGAAAGTTTGAAGGAACTTTAGGTTCCAACAAGAAAAATAAATTTTCGAAGTCTAATTCGAAGAAGTTTGGAGGAGGAGGAAGAGTCGAAGTGAAATTGTGTGAAAAGTGAAAGAAAAAGCACTCTGGGAAATGTAGTGAAGAAGTAACTTGCTACAAATGTGAAAAAACTGGGCATTATGTCAATGAGTGTCGGTCCAACAAGAGTTGTGCTTTGGATGTAACGAAGAGGGGCACATTTTGAAAGAGTGTCCGAAGAAGAAGGAGGCAG